TTTTAAAATCGTAGAAAGCTTTGAATTTAATGGTTAATTTTAATAAAAATTACAGTTTAATACAGTGATTTGCTCTTTAATTGGCTTAAAATGAAATATTAAAGAATTCATTTAAGTTTGAGTGTTTTTTTAGACCGAATATATATTTTGAAAGCTTTGAAAGTTTAAAAAGCTTCGAGTTTAAAATTTATTATAAATTAATAAATGAAGCAAATTAGTTCTTTAATTGTGTTCAAAAATATATAAATTTATTTTTAGTATTTTTTGAGCCTTTTAGAGCGAATAATTTCCCGACGGCAAATAATATTTTTAGTTTATAGCAAAATTCTTATTTAATTGGATTGAGATGTAATTTTAAAGCGGTCTCGAGTAACTTTTTTGAGTTGGAGTATATTTTTGTTGAGTTAAAATATACTTAGAAAGCGAAGTTTAATTGGGTTGAAATAAAATACTAAAGTGTTTTAAACATTTTGTTTGATTTTGAGTTTTTTTTTTTGTAGCGGATACTTTATCGAAAACAACTATTGTTTTGCGTTCAAATTTTATTATTGACAAAATTACAGTTCAATAAAACAAAATTGCGCTTCAATTGGATTTAATAGAAATATTGAAGATTTTTTAAATAATCTTGAGTTTTTGAGTTTTTTTTAGGAGTGGATATATATTTTTATGGCGAAGGATAAATTTCCGATAGCGCAGAATTTCATTACTACTAACATTGCTGTTTATAAAAGTAAATATTATTAAATAAACTCATTTACACACTTTAAAGGTTTCTCCTTGCGAAAAACTAAAATGAGTTCACTCAGAATAATTCTTACTCACTCAAAATCTCATTCACTAGCACTCATACTCTCGCCATGCTTCTCTAAAAAGCGCTAAACACTAAAAACTCCCGCCCCACATAAACTAGCTGCCTGACCTAGTCAACTACTTAGTTTTTGACGCCACTGTATGACTGAGCGCAGGCAGACTCAGTGGCTTATGACCAAAAAAGGACAAAATGGCGCCAGTAGAGTGATGATATCCTTCGTGGCTTCAGCTGACGCTTCACTAAAAATCGCCTGCAATTTATCTGCGTATTATACTGAGTAAATATGTGTGGGGGTGTAAGCGCTTTTTTATCCGCGAGTGCTGAAGGTGAAGCGCAGTTAAGACTCACTAAAGTGCAAATTATGAGATAAAATACCGTTGAAAAGCAACAAAAAAAAATCTAAGTAAAAAATGTAAAACTTAAAGTTGCATAAAAACTTGGCAGGTGTGGATAATTGTGTTGCAACTTTGCGGATTTTATGATGGCCAACTCATAATGTCATGCAAAACTAACTTTTTTTTGTTGGTCTTGGAACTTTTCGGAACGCTTCACGCTACTGATGAGATACAGATGTAAATATTAATGGTACAGGGGGAGTTATACAACGGTACAAGTAAGAGCTGACCTGCTGAGGGTAGTGTGGGGGAGAGTGTGAGTAGGTTTGCGTACCATTCATGTTGCAAATTTTCAAAACGCTCGGGGATGTAAACTTTTTCAATTAGTATAAAAATTATTTGCAGAAGTTTTGCATATTTAATGAAGGTGAGGGACGACGGAGATGCGGTAACGAATAAAAATTCTATGAGGTATGAAGACAAATAAGTATAAAACTTAAATTAGACCCAATTGACCACCTTTACATTAAAAGAGGCATGAGTAGCTGAGAAGTAGATGAAGCGTGGAAGCTTAAACTTCCAACGCCATTTAAAGGATCAAAGTTTTACTAATAACGCGAATGCCGTTGAGTCGTCGAGTTCTATCGGCATCTACGCGAACCAGTTTTTGAAATATCGGCCTAAAATTTTGCACCCATCTTTTTTTCCCAAGAAGCTGCTTATTTGTCGAGAACTGTTGATATGGGATCACTATAGCATATAGCTACCATGCAAACTGTGCGCTCAAAATCTAGCCTTTGTATGGAAAACATTTTTATTTGGCGATATATTGGATTATTATATAAAGCAATAATGCAATCTCCGAAGAAATTGCTCAGAACGGATTACTATATAGTATAGCTGCCATACAAACTGACCGATCTAAATCAAGTTCTTGTGTGGAAACTATTATATTTGGCAAGATATCGTTACGAAATTTGGCGTAGCTCATAATCCAAGACTATGATCTTCGAGCAAATTGTTCAAATACGACTACTATAGCATGTATATAGCTGCTATACTAACTGACCGAAAAAAATCACGATAAATTTCTCTTTCTAACTTTTTATGCTGTAAGAAATGCACCTTTGAAGGGTATTATAGCTTCGATTCAACCAGCTTCGAAAAACCCCTTAATTTCTTGTTGAATATATACATTTGTCTGTCCGTAAGCGCTTATACTTGTATCTAATTTAACATTACTTTTCGCAGATAGTTTCCCAAGTGTGTACTAAAGTGTTTTTTTGGTTACATTCTACTACTCTTGATTTTACTACTGCTGCCTTTTATTATCTTCAGTTCCATGTTTAGACATAAGTACACATATATGATTGAACGAAACATTTCATAAAATTAAACACAAAAAAAATTTATTTGATTCCGCTGCTAAAAGACTTAAGAAAATATCACACAAAAGGCCACAAAGTGCGGCAGCACCTGATTCTGCGTCGACTGCTGTCGGTGACAGTAGCTGTTGTTACCACAGCCATTGTAAAGTACACATACATGCACGCCTATGTACACAGGTGACTTTAACTAAGCACACAAATAAATATGAGGCACATAATACTTCCCCGTAGAGCTACCTGGTTTATTGCACCCTAAAAACAGATGCGCCGGTGTGGAGGTCAGCCACCGCCCACTGGAAGCTGGCGAAATGGCCTTCAGTGTGTAAATATTCTAGAGCAATGCGTAGCTGTCATGTGTAATGCTTATGTGTGTGTGTGTGTGACTGTAATCTGTGTGGTGAATGTGCATTTATGACCTTATTTATTATTATTATTTTTTTTTTTTTACTTTCGCATTTTAGCGTCTCCAGAGACAATGGCTGCGTATCGTTTCACTCTACAGCTGCCAGAGATAGTCAAATGACTGGCTCAAAGCGAGGACTGTGGTACTAAAGATGATGTTTGCTATCTATGTATGTGTGTATAGAAGTGTGTTTTGTTTGAGTGTGTGTTTGTATGAGTATTTGTTTTTAATAACAGTGTGTCAGCGGGGGCTTAGCAAAAGTAATATCATTCAACATGGTAGTTTAAATGGTTTTTATGATTAACGGAAATCGATGGCGAGATGTCAAAACAAAGAAAAAGGAAAGAAAAGACATTTGAAGAAAGGAAGTTTAATTATTAAATTGCAAAAAATACAAAAAACATAATTAAAAGTATACTTACAGAAATTATTTTATAATGGAGATATTTGCTTAAAGGAGCTCTAAAAGCTAATAATAAGCAACTGAAGTCTCGAGCAAATAGCATGCAAATGGTATTTGGATTAAAAATTAAATGCTTTATTCAACTTAAACAATAAATTAAATCGAAATTCTATTTGAAGCACACAGTACACTGTAAGTTTCTATAATAATTTATATAACTCTTGTAGCTTTTTACGTAAAAAAAGATAACAGGAGGTAGATAAATATTATTTGATTTACAAACGCCCATATTACCCCATTTTTCCCTCCCCCATTGATTCAATATGAAATGTGTTTACCAATCGCAATGTGCTGTTTAGCCTTTGCTAACACCTAGACAATTTAAAAGCAATGCCTCTAAACAAATATAACAGACAGAAACACTCAGGCATGACGACCTATTAACCCACTGGCAAATTTGGCAGTAAGACGTACACAAACCAGAACAAAAATGTTAAATATAATTTTCGAATACCTTGCCAAATGCCCCGCAAGCGCATAAATCTGTTGGCAGAATTTAAAGCAAAACGGCAGAGAATGGATGAATTTAGAATATGAAAACCCAAAAAAAAAATAGAAAATAATAAAAAATTAAAAAAAAAAAATTAATATAAATAAAAAAAAATAAAACATTAATATAAATAAAATAATAAAATAAAAAATTAATATTAATAAAAAACTAAATAAAAATAATACAAAAAAATTTTAAATAAAAAATATGTATGTACATATAAAAAATAGAACATAGTTACGATAATAAAAAATAACAAATAAAAAAAATTTAGAAAAAGTTACAACAACAACAATATTCCAAAAAACCTTAAAAAATAAATATAAAAAAACTACAAAAAACCTAAAAATACTTAATAAAATTTCAGAAAAAAAATGTACATAAAAAAATTGCAACAAGAAATGTTCTAACTATTAAAAAAACAATAATAAAAAAATATTAAAAAAAAATAAAAAACTAAAAACAATAAAAAAAAACAACAACTTTTCAAAATATTCTAAAGTACTCAATACGCCTAAGGCCACGCATCAATAATACAAAAAATAAAGCAGTCATAATTGAGCGGGCATAATTCAGAAAAATCTAAGCAATTTAGCGTAAGAGCGATATGCCAAGCTGAAAGAGATTTAAGAAAGGCCACGTCGGGGGCCAAATTCTTCGATTGATTCCACTTTATTTTCGTATGCAATTGACCCAAATCGAATGCAGGCGAGCAATGGCCACAACGACGATTGAAAAGCAAGTTGAACTTTCAGCGTTGCCAACAACAGCAGCAGCACCCCAGCCAAGTGAGCGGAAAGGAAATGCAATATATTCTACATTTTCCAGTGAAGCATTTATGCGGGCATGAGAATGAGCAAATGCTAAAGCGAAAAGTTAAGTGCATACTTAAATAGAAAAACATCAAAATATGATTGTATACATACATACAAAGCTTGCAAAATATTTTGCTTTACTGCTCACTTTTTTTCGCTTGCGCAATTTTTAGCTTTCGTTTGTGTTCGCAATGATTTTCGGTTCACTGCATTTTCAACTCATGAGCATTTTTTATTTTTGCCTTATTATTCTGGGTATTTTTTGTTTTTGAAAATTTATTGCTTAGCTTACCTGCTCGTATTTTTTTCCTGTTGGCGATTTCGTTAACTCGTACACCAGTCAGTCGATTTTCAAATCGATTCGAGGCACATAAACGCGAAAACTTGTAAAAATGCGCTATTTCTCCTCGCACCTCTACGACTGTGCGGGGTAAATGCTATTGCACGGTTTATTTCCTTTGTGTCGTCAATTTTTTTTTGATTTCACATTGCTTTATAAAAATTGTTTGAAAGTAAAAGTGTGCAGAAACTGTAAGAAAAAAGAGCAAATATAAATAGTTTGTTTAAAATAATGAATAAGAAATTAAATTGTATATTAATTAATTATCAATTAACAGAAAATTATTTTTAAGAATAAAAGACATATATGTATAATTAGGGTAGCTCAAAGTACTCTGAAAAATAGTTTCTTAGACGAAAATCTTTCCAAGTATGAGCTCTTAATTGTAACGGTAAGGTTCTTCGCCTTTCAATTTTCTTTTTTTCCCTATTATCAGATAGAAAAATTCATATCTGGCTTCCAACTACTTGAGAAAATATCTTCTTTCACAAATTTTGTAGGAAATCGAATGCTCTACAAAATGGTATCTTTGGATTTTTTCGTAAACCAAATCATCTAAAAGATATTAACGATTGAAGTTTAATTAGTTTAAACCAATTTTTTTTTCTTATGCATTATATAACTCAATTAAAAATAATAATAATTTTAAATTCCAAAACTCATGGTTTTGTAGGAAATTTACATATTGTTCAGAACCGAACACTATAACATATAGCTGCCATACAAAACAACCAATCAAAATGAAGATAAAGATCTTTTTATACCCTTTTAGCCTATACGAAATTCACCTGTGAAGGATATTACAGCTTGGTGCCGAAGTTAGTATTTTTTCGTGTTTTTTTTTGTTATTTTAAAATAGTTATTTTTCCATCAAATAATTTATTGTTTTACATTTACATTCTTTATGTACATTGTTTTATTTAAAAAAAAAATCAAATAATCCTACTCTGTTTTACACAATTATAACTAAGCGTCATGTAAACATCTTGTAAACAAACAGCTAGCTGTTATCGATTTCCGATAATATACGTTGACTATAAACAGCTGTCATCTTTCATACAATATTCTTTATTAATTGAAATCAAACAATTTTAGATTTATTTAATTATTATTCAATACTACTAACTAATAGAGTCTAGATGAACGAAATTTAACAATCTGATAATAATGATGTAATGATATCCCACTAATATCCAAGTGTGTCAAATTGCTTATTAGCATCTGCTGCTGACCGCAAATGAATGTGGCTACTACTACTACTACTATATATCAAGAAAACCTTATATAACAAATAAAATATTGCATGTACTTCTTGACGTTCTAATATATGTATTCCTCTGCTAATTAGTTAATTACTTATTTTTCATACATATATATAAACAAACAAAAACGAAAAGAGTGCTCATAAAATTTATGATTTCATTGAAATTACTCATTTATTTATGTATGAATGTGCGCAACTTAGGAATGTTATGTATATGCATACTTAGGTAAGTATATTATACAGACTTTTTGGAAATCATATTATGCGATGTTTATTTGTGCACAAGAAGTATGTGTTGCTGATAGCGACATTTCGTATACTAAAGTTGCCAATTAATTTAAATAATATGAGTTTTGTGGAATTCATCAAAAATGTTTATTTATTCGTAGAAAATATTTGTACAATTGAAGGAAATTAATGTTCTTAAGTAATCAAATTAATAAATTACGGAAAATAAACTTCGTACATACAATTTGCAAAAAAAAATTTTTCGAATTATTTTCATAGTAAAGCACAAAAAATATTTATATGCAACAATATTTTCAATTTATACAATGAAAATACAAAATCTTCGCAAATTTTTGGATTCAAGTACTTAAGTTAAAAAAAAAAACCCTTTCGCCCTTCACAGATACATTTCTTATAGCGTAAAGGGTATAAAAAGATCTCTATGTTGATTTTGATAGATCAGCTTATATGACAGCCATATCTTATAGTCGTCTCACACTGAACAATCTGTTCGGAGATTATAGACTTGCATTGGACAATAATTAATGAAAAATTTCATGAAGATATCTTGCCAAATATAATAGTTTTCAAAACAAGAACTTGATTTAGATTGGTCAGTTTGTATGGGAGCTATATGATGTAGTGAAGATATCTTGTCAAATAAAAAAGTTATCGATTTTGAACGGTCAGTTTGTATAGCTAATTTTTTTTACTGCAACTCAAAGCCAAACTTGTCGAAAAACTAATATGCACACATACACAACGCAAACACTCTTCCAAATAAATAAAAAAAACACGTTTACATCGCCTGCCGCGTTTTCTTGTTTACCTGTCATAACACTAATAATCGCACCATTAGGCGCATAATTATGACCCATGAAACAATGCAGCCCGGATAAGAGTCATAATTTTTAAATTGCTCTCATAAATAGCAACAGTAACTACTGCAGCTTTTATGTATAACAAGCAGAAAATTGGCAAAACAAGGCGAGCAAGTAAAAACTGTAAAAGAGGCGCAAATGTGTGGCAGATGAGGCATGCTCGCTACTGCGAATACACATGTATCTGACGGCGATGATATCAGCTGGACAAGAGTTTAACACATAAAGCGGTTATTGCACTGCAGATATGTCATTCCTTACTTGAAATTAATGGAAATCCGGAGAGAGAGAAAGAGGTGTTATTGTAGCTGAGCATAATGAAAGGGCACAAGCGACCAGCTGACAATGACGTAACTAGTAATTTGCTTACAAAAGTGACATTAGGTTGTGTGTTTCTGGCTTTGTTTTATGAAAACCAAAAGTTTCACCATTAAACATTTTTCAACGCTATTGAGAGTCTCAGCTTATTTTATGACGTCACAATAGCGAGTACATACAAAAGAATACGAAACACTTTATTTTGTTTTCAGTTTTTTAAATAGGTTAAGGGCGCTACTCACTCAAGATTGTAAGGTTACGAAGGGAGACCTGACTATTTTGACAATGAACTTTAATTCATCGAAGGTTTGATTTGTCTCCTCATGCCTGGGGCCATAACTCTTATTTTTGATTTCCACTGACTTGCCGACGAGTCAAATCTAGCTGACTGCTTAAGCCGAATGTTCAGAATTTTCCGGAATTAAAACATTAGAGAATACTATAGAGTTTAAGTCGAACTCTGCCCTTTTTATTTCTTTTCAGAGTACTTCATCAGCGCAAAAAAATATATATTTATAATTACGACATACCTATATACCACATAATAGCCCAATAAACCGCTACAACAACAGAAATCTATACGGACAAAATATCAAATAGGACAATGTTCTTTGTCGACCCAAACTCGTCAACTAAAAACACGACTTTAAAACCCGATAAACGATAAATCCGTGCTACTCTGACAGAAAAAATTTAAATTTTTAAAAATATAACCTAGTTGAACCTAAAATCATCGGATTGCATATTACTACGCCAGCTGTAAAACCCAATCTTCACATAAAATTTTAAGAGAAGTAAAAATGATTACCAAAAAGAAGATGGAACATGCGACTGCTCTAATATTTATACAAATAAAATCCGCAATCACCCAGCTTATATAAATATATCGCAAATTCTTTCATATAAAATTTTCATTTACCCCATAATACCTCGACTTACGCAGCAAATTTACACGCAGCACTATCAAATTTGAATAATGTTTTTAGTTTTCTTACTTCACTCTTACCATTCGTTGTCACTAATGAAATAAAAATAAATTTGATTTTGTCACGTTTTTCTACCCCCACACAAAAGCCACAGTATACCTATAAGCTTCGAATCCTGACCGTCTCACATAACCAGTTGCGGCAGGTTGTACGCGACGCCTATAAACCCTTTTAACGCACACGGCGGACTGACACAAATCCGCTACTCTCCACTCCCTTTCACTCGCTTATCCTTTTTGCTTCAGGTTTTGTGCCCCTATCAACTTAAACATGCTACTACCGCCGCCGCTCCACCGAAGTTGCTGCGCTGTCCTACTATGGTATCACTTTCCTATGGCTTAGCCCCTATTTTCTTTTGTTATTACTTTTTTCTTTACTTTTGCTTTGGTATTGTTTCACGAACTTATTTGCATAAATTGCTCGCTTTGCCCGGCACTCTTTACTTCGTCGTGCTCTGCCACACGCGTTTATAGTAATACACGTGCTTTTTACGGCTTCTACTAAGATTGAAGTGTATAAGCAGGGTTGCGTATCCTTTAATATTGCTTTACCCACACACATTCGCTTGATATCACCACTTCAGAATTTTACATAAACCAATGCATTCCGCATGCCATGATCTATTTAAATATTTAACAGCTGATGCAGTTTACCGTTATTGTTATTTAAGTACGAAGCTGTTGAGGCAAACTTTTATACGAATTTTGTTTCCTGTCAACTTTGATTGATGGCAGCATAAATTTTATGGCATCACAAATTATTAGTAAAATCGACTTATTTACAATTCACAAACTTTTTTAAAGAAAAATAATATTTCTGGCTAGAAGAAGTTTCGTAGCATTAGAAATTGTTCAAAATGTAAGAAAAAATATATATAAACCGGAAGAGAATTTTTGTCTTACTTCTTTTACCTACATAAGTATAGATATTAGGTTGTGTTAGCTTAGCTGCGATTGATATATCATGGAACTCAAACCAGCCTGAAAAAATTTGTATTAGACTCACATCTTCCACAGAAATTTCATAGTTTCTTAAATGTAAATTATTTCGTTCCGCCTTCGTTCAGTTTGTATGTGAGCAGCTTTCTGGGGAGAGAAGGACATGTTCAAAATTTAGATCGATATCTGAAAAACTGAGCGACTAGCGCGCATATCTACAGACAGAGAAACGGACATGGCTAAATCGACTCAGCTCTTCATGCTGTCCATTTACATGTTTATTTTATAGAGTCTCCAATGTTTCCTACTGGGTATTACCAGCTTCGTGGCAAACCTAATATACCCTATTCAGCAGCATATATGGATTATTCAAAACGGGTATTACATTTCGAAATATCAAAATATAAGTTTGCTTAGATCTAGTTAGATCGCTGAATGCGTTGCATCTGCTTTTTACTGAACCTTAACTAAGATATGTTTCAATTATGTCAAAGCAATCATAAAATATGTGGTGAGTAGGCCAATAAACATTATATGACTACTCACAAAACACTTGAGAACACATGCAGGAGGA